ATTGCAAAGTTTGTTTGATCTTGTGCATAATATGCATAAATGCATTTGAATCTTATATGTCAATGTAACCACGGAACTTTTTCATTGTTCACAACACTTACCTTCACATTGTTGATGTACTTTTTGTTTGCAGATGAGGACAACATTTCCAACAGCAGAAATGACCAAGCAGACAATTAATATCGCCATTGCAATGAATACTGAATGTGCTGTTTGCACTAGAAAACAAACAAAGACAATCATAATGTCATCAACACATTTTTAAAATTGCTTCCATTATTGAACACCAAGTCATACCAATTTCCACTTTAGTGCCATCTCCCAAAAATATCTCTCCACATGTGGCCACAGCACAGTAGTAAGTTCCAGCATCAGAGGAGCTGACGTTCTTAGAGAAGCGATAAACACAGCTTTTCTGAGAGTCAGATCTCTTGTCACATTCATCATGTCCATTTCCATCAGTGTAGATGATGTCTGGATGAGATTTATCTGATCCGGCTCTGAACCAGTACACACTGTGATCTCCTGGACACGTCTTATTGTCAGAGTCAGAGAGGACTAAACACTGGAGATTCATCAATTCTCCTGGACGGTATGGATCAGATACTGTTGTCCCCTTAATGACAGTATAGTTTGATGTCCTCTGAGTGTTTCCTGCGCGATACAAAACTGTTAAAAATTTGATCTCCAAAAAATTTTTCAAAGCTTAAGAACCACAGACATAGAATATAGCTCATTTCACATGCTTAATGAAAGTTTAAAACTTTGTTAAAGTAGATCACATTATTACCTTTTACTAACAGATATGTTCCACTCCATTCAGGATTAATCCAGGCTGTTACTGCACAGTGATACATTCCCTCATCCTCTTGAATTGTCCTCAAAATGGTCAGGTTGCTAATATTCTTATCAGTATTTACCTTTAATCTTGATTCAGAAAACTCTGGTGCATACTCAGGTTTTGCAGATTTCCACAGTGTCATAATTAATTTCAGAGTATCCCCGGCACGCTGCTTGTACCAGTGGAGTTTTCTACTGCTCAGCTCTTCATTAGGCAAAACACACGTGAAGGTCGCAGAGTCACCGAGTTGAACAGTGGTCACTGGAACCAATGTATCTGAATGAAATGAAAATACACAATAAATAAAATAATAGTTAGTCTATGCTGTGGAAAAGTTATAATGCATATTATCATTTCAATTTCTAAAATGACATAATAAAAACCACTTACAACCTTGATGAAGAACAAACAGTGTAACCCATAACAGGATCATCTTGACATTGTCTCTTGTTAAGAAACTTAACAGTTTCAGTGAGTGAAGGAGGTGAGATGGTCGTGATACATCAGACCATCAAATACATCTGATTGGTTATCACAGAATATGCAAAGTACACTTCCTGTCACATTGGTCTCATCCTTGTGTTTGTGCATATTACCTACTGAACTATACAGAAAATGTAAACTCAAACAACTAGATATTTGGGTAATATTTTATAGTTTTATCATTGCATCCATTTCATTTAACATTATGTTAATTTTAGATTTACATGAAAAAAAAATCCTCTCATTAAACATAACACAACCCTCTTATATGCAGTTTCATAACATTTTTTAAATTGAAATGTACAAATATTATTAATTTGTTTCAAGTATTAAAGGTTCTTTGTGTGCATACACTGTCACATTGTCTCATCCTGGTTTTTGTGCATATTGCCTCACTTTTTTTTAACAAATGTCCTTCTCTGAGTGATTTTTTTGATTAGAGAGATAGAGGTGTGGTCTTGTTTTTGAACCTTAGTTATAAAAACTTCATTTATACCTCTACTCAGAACTGTGTGTACAAACTGTACTTGACCTATGCTCACCTTTGTGTTGGTTTTGTCTCACCTGTCAGCGCAGGACAGCATTCACCATAATCATGCTTACTACTATATCAAGTTAGATGACATCATGTAATTTCCAGCTTAGCACCCAACTTTCATGTGCATATCTTTGTAATTGGCCAGGGTACTTGAAATCACCTGTGTGTTGCTTTCTAAAGTGAGATGCAGACTCACAGAGAAAGAGAGAGAGAGGAGAGAGAGCTTAAACGTCTCCATGCATGCAGTAAAGTCACAGCAAATATAGTGATACATCTAATCAGCAAAACTAAAAACTTTAGTTATAGACTTGACAGGACAGACTGAAGAAAGTCTCCAGAGGGAACACAATTCAATTTTTAGCTTCTGAATTTTTTCTAAGACAGTTCTGATGGAGCGCAGGGTTTATCAGGAGGACAGTTGCTTTACTCTAAACTATTTCACTGTATGACCTCTAGGATGTGTAGAAGAACACAGAACATTAATTAACATTAGATTAGGTTAGGGGTATAATCAAATTTGATCAAAACATTATTTTCTGCTCTCTAATTACATCACTGCCATCCTATGTTGAAAATGAGATGATAAAAAGAAGATAAGGTTTACAGTACAACCACGGTCTTAAATTACGAGTAAAATCATCAGTCCATCTGCCACTTTGGCAGATACAACAAAAAGTCTCGTGAGGTTAGCACATTGTGGCAATCATCCCTGCACACACCCAGAAATATTTACCATATAATATATATATATAAGCAGCTGGTTAGCTTACCAGCAGCCTACCGGCCTGACTACAGGAGGTAACTCCAGTGGTGTCAGAGAAGTTTGTCTATTAGATGCAAGAGTAGTCACTAGGTTTCATTTTTGTTGGACAACTTCTGTATTGAAATTCAAACTGAGTATTTTTTATTCAGTTAGCTGTAAACCCAAAGGTGAGGACTTTGTTGAGATATGGATTGAGATTTAAAATGAACTGTAGATTTTGTATTTAGCCTCGTCTGTAATACGCTGTGGTGAACCTCAAGTTCTTGTGTGCTTTGTGTTTCTTGTCAGTGGTACCTCTGAAATACCTGGTTGGTAGTGAGGTGGACTGCACCACTCTCCCAGTATCCCAGGAACACAGTCAACTGGAAGTGATTAAGATTTTCTAACCTGCATATTTTTATCTGAAGAATATAATTTAGAACAGCCCAGTGTAAATTCAGTAATAGTAACAGTAATAGTAGCAGTAAATTCTTTCATGTACTTTCAGCTGTATTTAATACTACAATTGTTGCTGGAGTTTTGACTCATACACATACTACACAAAACAAAAGTCCTCCAGTACTTTCATGTACATTTGTTGCTGTGTACTTTCTCTCTCACACACACACACACACACACACACATACAGACATTAAATGGACAGAAATAAACATGCATTCACAGTGACAAACAAATGGTGCATGGAAACTTAAGCATTGTTGTGGTTGGGCTTCAAACCAAGGTGTTAAGAAAGAGCAGCTTTCCTTCCTTCTCTTTTTTTGGCCTCAGAAAGTTTGGTTTGAGTGATGTTTTACCTGTTTTAAGAAGGCAAGAAGAACAACACTACATCACTAATTATTATCAATATATACTGTAGTGTCTAGTAGTTTAAGGGTACAGGAGGTTAGACACACACACACCTACCCATGCTAAGTCATGACTGTGTTTACTGAAGTTTTCTGTGGCTTTTTTCTTGGTAGTAGTTGTGTGTGTATGTGTGTGTGTGTGTGTGTGTGTGTGTGTGTGCAAATTAAAACAAAGATTGCAAATGTATACGGGTATAGATTTGAATGCATATTTGTTGTAGGTTTCGCATTATATACGTATACAACAACAACTTTAAATGAGCATGTTAACAGTCAATAAAAACTAAATCAATCAATTTGTTCAACTTAAATTGACCTGCTGAAGCCTTGTGCAGCTCTTCCCTCACTACATATCCTGTTGAAGTACATAGTCAGGTCTGTTCTGAGTAAATAGCCTTGATGGTTGATCAAATGTGGCGAAATGGCCAACCGCAGCCTGTCTGTTAGTGTAGCTGCTGCATGTGGTTTTACTTGTGCAGACATGTAAAAGGCCTTTATAAAGTACTGCGAGACCAGAAAGATGGAGTGGGGTTATTAATTTGAGTAGTTATCGTCTAATATTGTTTACATAGTATATTTTATTTAACATGTTTTCTAACAGGGGCGGCACGGTGGTGCGGTGGTTAGCACTGTCGCCTCACAGCAAGAAGGTGGGTTCAAACCCCAATCCCCCTCTGTGTGGAGTTTGCATGTTCTCCCCATGTCTGCATGGGTTCTCTCCGGGTACTCCGGCTTCCTCCCACTGTCCAAAGACATGCAGTCTAGGTTAATTGGCGACCCTAAATTGTCCTTGGTTGTGAGTGGTTGTTCATCTATGTGTGGCCCTGCGATGGACTGGCGACCTGTGTCAGCTGGGATTGGCTCCAGCCCCCCTGTGACCCTGTATGCAGGATAAGCGGTTGACATGGATGGATGTTTTCTAACAGATATTTTAAAAAATTGTGTCTACAACATGAAATGCTCTATGCATATTTTTGTTTGTCATGCTGCTGAGATGGAAATGTATCATGGTTAGCAGTGGTTGACAAATATATAGCAGTTCTATGAAGGTTACGATATGGTAACCCTAGTTCTAAAAGCACAGGTGAAGCCCTCTACTGGACTCTATGGGTACTACCTCCTCCAATCACACGCAAGCACTTGCCCACTGAAATTTTATCGAGAGATCGAGAGAAAGAGATGTCGGCAGGGTGGCGTGTCTGTTTATGTAACACGATTTCACTGACGGTGAGCTAGCAACGTGCCCGTGCGAGTCCTTGTGGGCACGCTAGGAATGCAGAGTTAGAGTAGACTGCTGCATTGCCCAGTTTCCACGGTAAGAACAGCTTGTTTCTGGGCTGTCACATCGTGGAAGCAGACCATTATGGCCACGCAGACTCGGCGGTCAGGCTAGGGAAGTGGACGCCTGGGCCTCACCCACCCTCTGACTTGGTTCTAACCGGGAGAGCGGCGTGGGCCATGGGGCGAGCCGTTAGCTTTGCGTCGGTGAGCGCAGCGGCGTGTTCTACACAGCTAGCAATGTGTAATGTAATGTGTTTCTAATCAACAGTTTAACATTCACAAGCATCACCATAGTGTACACAAGCATCACATGTTAGAACAGTGGCTTCGTGAACACAAGGCCGCAGGGCGAACCCTTAGCCTCCCCCAATGAGTTTGCTCTTTGATGAGAAAAGTACTAACTTAACTCTTTGAGGAATGTAATTAACATGTTTTACTCAAAAAACGGTTTCCACATTCTCAAAAGCCTTATCGTAGTGTACACAAGCAGCACAAGTAAAACAATTCAACACAACATTGTGGCAGCATCAGCAGGCCTCTCTCCATGCATAACGGTCACTTGGCCAGTCGCTCCCTTCCCCAGCCGCAGGTTGGCAGGCAGGGGGGCTTAACTCGTCCGGGCAGGACATGGGTCACCTTGCCCGGGTGCAAAGATAATTTTCTAGAATTCCCGACTACATCCGTGGAGGTGGTGAATTCAGTGAGCAGTTCGCCGTTTGTTGAAGAAAAAAGGATGCTGAGGCAGTAGAGACACTGCTATTTATACGTCACGCACGTATCAGTAGCGACTACCTATTGGTCGGCTACGTGCACGATAAAATTTTAGTGGGCGAGTGCGTGCGTGTGATTGGAGGAGGTAGTACCCATATAGTCCAGTAGAGGGCGGCGCCTGTGTGAGATAGAACCACTGATTGTCTATTAGTCTCTCTCTCTTTGTGTCTCAAAGTTAGAAAAGTGTTTCTTCACAGCAGACGTTTAAACCTGTACAAGATGGGCCGACTTGTTTCAAGGGGAGAAAAAAAGGTGATGCTAACCAAGTAAACACTCAGTCAGTGAAATCCATAAAGTGTATCATGGTCTTACGTTGGATGCCAATATATCATGGATTATAATAAAATTGCAAATTCCAGTTTTGTATGGGTTATACACACACTTGCTCTACTGTAGCTGTAGCTGCATGTAACCTTCCCTAGCACAAACTCTTAACACAAAGACTTAATTGCAGAAATGCCCAGAGGGGCTTATGTAGTTTTCAGCGGCCACTAACAGTGTGGTTTTAGATCGCAACCTGGTATTTGCTCATACGCATGCGTGATCTTATGATCAAGAAATATCCGACACACTGGGAGATAGCTTCACACAACATGGTGGAAACTAATGTAAACTCCCACAGCAACATTACAGTAATAATTTTATCAGCTTGACATTGAAATAATCCATGCTTGTTGTATGATAACATTACATTGACTGCATTTAGCTGATGCCACTTTTCAGCAACTATTTGTGTATTTTTCAAAGGAGGCTCAACAATGTGAGCACAGCTAAATGTATTGGATAATTACCAAAGTGGTTTAGTGAGTTACATTGACTATTATAAATGAGTTATCAGTAAGCTGCAGTTAGTAACATTACTGTAGTGAATCCACTGACATGACATCCACTGTGGGGTTGTCCTGTTATGTTTCAATATTGTACATTATGTGGGTCACGTTAGTTACAGCAACTGAGACAGTGAAGAAGATGTGTACCTGAGTATCGGTAAAAAGACAATGACAGTGGTGGAACCATGCTAATGTAGCTGGTTGCCCCTGACTTGCATCACTATAGACTAGTAAACAAATAGTTCCACATTTGCTTTGTACCACTGCATCATTTCTTACAGGCTAAATCAACATTTTCACATAATACCAGTACTATACAGTATTTTAATATGGATCGTGTTAGCTGGTGGAGTATGTGACAAGCCATTCTACTGTTGTATTTTGCACCAAATAATCTTAGCACCTGATCGGCTTAAGCCGGCAAGCTAATGTTATCTAACTTGAGCCAACTAAAGACAAAAAGATTTCACTTGTTTGCAGTAATGTTAGTTTAGCTGTCAAAAATGATTTTTTGGTTTTGTCGGTTCCAAGTAGGCATGGGCCATTTCCGGTTTCAAGGTATCCAATGGGATGAAAAAGTCAAGGTTATAAAAGCACAAAAATTTATGAGCAGTTTTTTATGTCAAGAACAGGAATCCCACAGATTGTGTGCAGCGTAGAGAGTAACATGAACCCTTCCCCTCCGGTTGGTGTGAGCAGTCAGTCTAGGATGGCCGAAGGTGGGGAACCCCTGAACATTTTTCCCTGTCCGTTTTTCCATCTAGGGGAGCCCCACCCTCTTCGCTAACATCAACGTAACACTATCTTCAAATGAAGTGCTAAAAGTCACACTTAAGTGTGATTTAAAAGACTAGATGGGTTATGGCGCTAAGGTCAGGAGATATAAATTTACTACTGATGACTGAGACATTACATAAAAGAAAATTAGAGGTTAAGCACTTCTTCTTCTTTTTCCAGTGCTGAAGTTCCAGCCCTTTGTCATTAACCCAAATAAGTTTACATTGTTTGCAGGATGAAACAGATTACAACACCCAGCAACACCTCTCTCTACTGGCAGTCACAGCCTGTGCACTGCCTCCCACTGCTGATTTTGTAGGAGAGTATAAGCATTTCAGTTACTTTGGTAATTAAACACATGTGCCAGTATTTCTGTAAGATAATGATAGATGTCGTTAACATGTTAATAACTGACACGCAAGAAAAACATTCAAGGAAAAACAACATACTTAAATTCTAAATATGTTTACTCACAACAGCTTAATGGCCATATAGTTTCTTTCTCCAAACAAGATTCATTCATGATGATGCAATATACTTATTTTCACTTACTCTGATCTGACTTTCTCTCTCCTGATATTAGTTTCATTGCAGGGTACTGGCTGATACTGAGTACAGATCCAAATTATTATATGGATCAAATTATGTTAATCTAGTATACAAGATTATTTAACTCCAATTTAAAATCTGTAAACCTCTTTATATTTGGTTCACCAGTACTGATTCAATGGATTGGATAGGTTTAACGATGTATCCCTATTTCCTTACTTGGTCTTTCATTTTGACTACAGAAGTTTTTCCTCAAATGGATTTTACTAACCATCACGTTTGCCTTTAACTTTTAGTGGTAAAAAACAACAATATCCATTTTAACATTAAAAATTTTACTTTGTGTATTTCTGGACATTTTTAACCTTTAATACAGACAGTAGAAACATGACAGGAAATGTTGGACAAAGACGCAACAAAGATCTCCAGCCAGACTTAGTTTATATTCGGCATCTTAACCACTAAGCCACAGGGGCGCCCCTCCCATGTGTTCATATTTGCATGAAAAAGACACAATCTATCTATGTTTAAACATATAGAAAAAACATATATACAACATTAAAAACTATAAACAGTATAACGTGTACAATACTGCCTTAAAGCCATAGGCAGTATAACAAACCCTTTCGCTCCTTACAGACTAACATTAACTGGATCATACAGCACCAACTGATGACAAACACACCTGTTAACTCTCTAATCCAACCCAAAAGCCTTGACAGCAGCATAGATCCCCTGTCTCTCCGCTGCTTTTGCATCCTTTATTGCACCATCAGCTTTCATCATGCCGAAGACGACAGCAGAATAAATCCATGTCTCCTCATCTCTCTGAGAAAATACATGAGATGGCAAATTTAAAAAGCTTCATAACTAGTTTAATAAGATTAATCCCAACTTTAAAATCCTTACCTGTTGTGTTTTCTGATAACCACTGTTTTGTTCCAGGATGACAGCGGCTGGATTTTGAGAAAGAAAATATATAGACATAAAAAAGGATTCAGTAGTTTTAATTTAGTTTTAATTTAATAGAGAACTATGAGTAACTTCTATTACCGTTCCCACAATCCCTATTTTTTGTATTCATGTTGTAAGTGAGGAAGGCTATAACAATCAGACTTATAGCCAAGACAGCACACAGCAGGAAAAGAATTGCACTGGCCTTCTGTGACCAAAAACTGGCTCCTGGAACATTATCACAGGAAATAATGAAAGTTACCAATGAATCAAAGTAAATTACTTTTACTATTCCATTGTGGTAAAATTGTTTTGTGTATTAAGAAATTCAATAATTTTCTAATCAACTGAACAATAAAACAGTTACCTTGACTGTCCACTTTAGTTCCATCTCCAAATAATATCTCTCCACATGCGGCCACAGCACAGTAGTAAGTCCCAGCATCAGAGGAGCTGATGTTCTTAGAGAAGTGATAAACACAGCTTTTCTGAGAGTCAGATCTCTTGTCACATTCATCATGTCCATTTCCATCAGTGTAAATGATGTCTGGATGAGATTTATCTGATCCGGCTCTGAACCAGTACACACTGTGATCTCCTGGACACGTCATATTCTCAGATTCAGAGAGGACTGAACACTGGAGAGTCATTGAGTCTCCTGGACAGTCTGGATCAGATATTGTCTGTCCCTGAATGACAGTATAGTTTGTTGTCCTCTGAGTTTTTCCTGCATAGTACAAAAATAATTTAAATACATCCCATAGTGACTTTAATAGTTTCACATCATATTCTGCTGAAATCTAGAAAATGGTGATTTGTTTAATCCAGTACAAGTATTCCCAGAATAAAATTTGATTGTTGGAACATTGATTGGAGCTACAATATAGACAAAGCAGATAAACTATTAAGACAATACAACTGGTGGCCTGTCAGTCAATCAGTGGGTGAAGTAATTGCAAACATTTTGGAATAAATAGATTAACTTTTTCTGAAAATCTATATGTAACCGGATGGCAACCGGATTTTTTAACATTAACACAGTGCAGCTTGAAATCAGTGTCTGAAGCATCTGCAAAACTTAATAATAGTAGATCACATGATTACCTTTTAGTAACAAATATGTCCCACTCCATTCAGGATTTGCAGTCCACTCTGCTATTTCACAGTGATACATTCCTTCATCTTCTTGGATTGTCCACAGAATGGTTAAGTTGCAATAATTGTTTAAATTGTTTACATTGAATCTCGATTCAGAAAACTCCGGTGCATACTCGGGTTCCTGGGATTTCCGCATTGTCACAATTAATTTCAGAGTATCCCCAGCACTTTGCTTATACCATAGGAGTTTTCTATGGCTGATCTCAGTAATAGGCAGAGCACAGAGGAAGGTTACAGGTTCACCAAGTTGAACTGTGGTCACTGGAACCAGCGTATCTGGATTAAATTAAATTATACAATACATTGAAATGTAAATGACATAACATTTAATGTAAACACGTTAGGATGCAAAAAGATACATCAACCACCATACATTATACATAATTTGCATGCAGATACAGATAAATGACAAAATATTTAGTAATTATTATATATAACTTACATCCTTGATGAAGAAGCAGTGTAACCCAAAACAGGATCATCTTGACACTGTCTTGTCTCTTGTTTGGAGACTTTGTGATTTTGTGAGTGAAGGCGGTGACATGACCGTGATAGGGCAGACCATCACATGCATCTGATTGGTTATCACAGGATATACAATCAAAGAGCATTTCATGCTACACTGGTCTTGTCCTGGTCTATGTAAACCTTATTATCTCTCAATCTTATCCATTCACCAAACTATTTGATGTTAAAACAGAATCATATTTTTCTGAATGTCTGGAGCTTTTTAACATTTCTTCAACATGCAATGGTTTTCATTCTTGGAAGGGTACATCCCATGTCTCGTCTCTGATTTTTCTGTGCTTGAACCGGAAGTCGTTCTGGTCTGCCTTCTTGCAAGCTGTCCCAGAGATCTTATTTCTGCTCCAAGGAGTGAACGAGAATCCATGAGTGAGGATACTCAAGAGCAGTCATCACAGAAGTCTTTTACTGGCCAACATTCCTCAGTGGATGTCAGTTATTGACTGGACGTTGCAGCTGTTCAGATTGATCTGAAATCACAGCATTACTTGAGTTTAATGCCGGAGTGAAGACAGATAACAGATTAAACTCAAATGCATCACACTTAAGTTATATTTTTGATTTGTTTTCTGATTCCTAGTTAATAATTGTGTTCTGTGAAGGACCACAAACCACATTCTTATAAGAAATTTATTAAGATTTTTATTCCGTTATTTCACACATTAACTTTTGTTATGGAGACAAAGAAAGACTACAGAGTAGGAGGGTCTGTCAATAAGAAACACTTCTCATTTATCATCATTTCCATTCAGTTACGTGAGGCCGATAATTCCTGAGCATTGACTTTGATACGAGTTAAATCATTTCAAAATATCCCTGAAATCTTTACACCCAGCAGTTGAAATGATTTAACTCGCATCAAAGTCAATGCTCAGGAATTATCGGCTGCTGGGTGTAAAGATTTCAGGGATATTTTGAAATGATTTATGAACCTTATGAACATTAGGTTTCCCTTTTTCTGCCAAAACAGGCCTGACCTGTTTGTTCTGACACCTATCTATCAGAATCAGTGGAAATTGTCCTACATTAGCTCGTCTGTAGCATTGGACCACGTGGGCCAGCCTTTGCACCCCACATGCATCATTGAGCCTTCCTTGGACCACATGTGATAGGTACTGACCATAGGTGCAGACTGTTTTGGAGATTCTCTGACCCAGTCGTATAGCCATCACAATTTGTGCTAGTAGAAATGATTCCTGTGTCTCTGAGCAGTACATAGTATGCATACAGAATGCTGACAGCTGGTCTTGGCATCTCTTGATGATGCAAGGAAATGTCAGTGCTCAGTCAATCACTGCTAGTACAATAAATGGGGATGTGGACATTGTTTATGTCAAGGTGCAATGTGAAAGATATGGCCAGAACTTTAAAACATTCAGAAAATTAACACACATTATCAACACAATGAAGAACTAACAGTTGTTGCAAAGATATCTACTCAAGTTAGCATGTTAACCAGCTAGCCCTGTTAAGTAACACCGCTTTGTACCCCAAGAAGCAAAAGGCCGTTAGTATTGCAGATCTATTCCTGTAGTTTTAGCTGGGTCACCTAACTTTTTCATTTGAATATATAAACAAAATAAACAAGAAAGGAAATATTTTTACACCTATTTTTAAAAATACAATCCAATATATTCTGAATTCAAGTTTATTTTTTTACTAATTAAATAGCTTTAAACTCATCGTAAAACACACTTCATTTAACCTCAACAGCTCTGGTAGGGTCAAAATAAACCCTTAACACAGTAAGATGTGAAAATATTCTGGCTCTACACTCTGTGGCAGCTTCTCTGATTCCCGAGCTCACTCCTCTCCCACTTAACACCTCTCCTGTTCCTGCCTGAACACACTGTGTCTTTGTCGTACCAGGAGTCAGAGTCCTGGTTGAAGTCTCTGTAATACATCGTGGTACTGTATTGACTGTGTTCACAGCAGGTCCGGCCATGTTCCCTGGAAGGTAAGCAGTTGACAGACATTATCTATCAAATCATCAAATTATGACCTTCCCACTCTGTCAGTCATCTGTTGTGAAACACATGTGCAGGGAGAGCATACCAGACAGAGTAATATCCATCGTACAGTAACTACTTTATTTATATTCAGTTGGACAGAAGCCTATTGCAATATGCATGATGTGAAAGCACACACAGAAAGTCATGCAGATATGGGCAATATTTTAAAGAAAGCTTTTACTTAACCTAAAGACATCCTGGGTCCACATACTGTATTTACAGTGGGGAACTCTGACAATCTGATATTATGCAGCATACATACAAGTCCAGAGTCTGTAGCAACAAAAACAATACTATACAGTTAAATCAATAGTTCCTTAACAAAATTTTGTTTATGAATAAGACACACACACAGTGAAATATAAATACAAACACAGAAGAAGTAACAACTGCAAAATGTAACATAAAAGCTCTGCAATAAATACTTTGTGTCTTGCTTCGTGCTTTCTATTTTTTTTAAAACTAGATATGAATTTTAATAAATTTATGAGAATTAATACCCAATTATGAATTTTAATATTTAAAAAATACATTAATCCATAAAAGCTCTCGTTAAAAAGGGCACCACCGGAGTCGTTATTATCCTAGAGTCTCCGGACCTCTAGGTAGCTTAATAATTATACAATTATTCACCAGATCAGTTAGTTAATAATCGCTCAATTATCTTAAATCAATCAGTCAGTCTCATATCTAAAGGGTCAATTCTCTTGGCAGGGACGTAGAAATAGGCAACACACACAATTCCTTGATTACAGTGAAACTAACTAAAGCGATATAAAAGGGTGGTTAAATACATCAGGATTTGACTCATACGGCAACTAACGAATGCAATTAGATGATAACTCGGTTAAATTTGTCTAGCGGTATAAAGATTCCATATGCTGGACTAAAGAAAAATGGATTAGCAACTATTGGACGTCACTGACCACAGAATGTAGAGTTTTGGTCTTACTGCTTGCGTTTCTTCCCGCCGGGTTGATGGTAAACGGCCTCACACTGGCAGAGTCCGTGCATTCAGGGAAATGCTAATCGCTGGTTAATGTCCCTTTGTCATTTTAACAATTCAGGCACCGAAAAAATTAGCTCGGCTGTTGTCAAAGGTGGCCAGTTTTACGATCAACTGCTCTGGAATAGCACTTAGAGAAAGTGACCTCTCCAACCCGCCTTCCTTTTGGGTCTCTTCAGCTGTCTGTAGAGGGTTGATAATTAACCCCCCTGGTCTCAGGGAGAGGGAAATAGTTTTGAGTAGTTCAAATTTATTTAATATAAAAAATGCACAAATCCACACTGTTGTCCACTACACTCTCTTTTTTGTCTTTTCACTAAGAAGCAACTGATGCATGGTAAGTTAAGCATTGGTGTGGTTGGGCTTTCAAAATATGTTGTGAATTAAAAATGGGGTCTTTTCTTTCTGTCTAGTTTTAGTCTCAAGACTGGATCACTGCTGTTTTAACAAGGTCATTGGAGTAACATTATATTTTAATTAGGATTATTCCAAATATCACAACACCTTATAGGAGTAAGTTAAAGGCTGCATAGGGAGATTGGGACACACATTACCAGCTCAGTCATGTCATGACAGGTTTTCATTGCACTTCTTATTGGTAAGTGGTTGTTAAGAAATGGGGGAGGGATAACCACCAGTGCTCTTTTAAAATCTGTAAACTGGAAATGGTATATTTCCCGGTGAATAAATTAACACGTAAATGGATTACAACAAACCGTTGTCTTGTGGTTGATTTATTAAATGAAGTACAAGGAAGTACATAAAACAAAGCAGCTGGGTCCCGATCAGAGGACAAACATACAATTTAAAGCAGGGAGACAGTTCACTCACACAGTGGCCTTGAAAAACTCCATTTACAATGGTAACGGAGAGGCGTAAGACATTTACACAGATGTTCATACACACACAAACCCTGACAGTACAATGCCAGAGAAGGTGACTATAAGTACACAACGTTAGATATATAATTATCAGCATGAATATAAGACAGATCAATTTTCTGCTACCACATAAATCTGTGTGGGCTGATTAAGATAATTTCAGGTAACGTCAGGTTTTTACAACATATTACAAGGAGTGGAACTAAGAGCTCAAGTTATATTGGACTGAGGAGATCTGTATGTCCACAGCCAGGCGGAGGCATGTTAAGGCAGTATACCTAAATATAATAATCTTATATATCTTATATCAATATCTAGCTATATATAATCTATAATAATCTTTATTTTTACATTACCTTTCAATACAAAGTTACAAGGTACTTGACGTGCGTAAAACAAGATAAAGACATTTCAGGGCTATCAGAGGTAACAATGAGGCAAGTAAATAAAAAGATGAAATTACTAAACAATAAAAAGATATTAACAAAATAATAAAATAAACAAACAACACAGATACACACACACACACGGGCCTCTAGCCCACTGAGGCAAAAGGGAGGGATTTCAGATATTTTCCCAAATATATTTCTATATACATATTTCTGACAATTAACTATTAACAATCATTAAAAAAACAACTTGACATTTTGTACTACAAAAAGGAATGACTAAATGTTATTTCAGACTTTAAGAGCTTGCAAAATTTTCACATAAAACATACACAACATGCTCTAAGGAAACCACACACTATAGGCCTGTTTGATTCTTGTGAAGCTGTAAGATATATAAGATATATCAAAATTTGTTTTGCATAAACTGCATCCAAGGGACTTCTTCAGAAGAACTGAAGAAGCCCCTTGGATGAGGGACAAAACGTCTTCCAGTATCTTCAACCCAGTCCAGTTGCCCTTGACTTTAACCTTCGTTGGATGTGTTTGATGATTTAACCAACAAAAAAGGCCCATGTCCATTTCAAAAATGGAAGGAAGGTTTCATTGTACAGGTCAAATGATTTATAATAACCCAGATTACACTTGGAGATCTCTTGCTGGAATTAACTGAATTACTAATTCAACCCAAGAGCCTTGACAGCAGCATAGATCCTCTTTCTCTCCGCTGCTTTTGCACCCCTCTTTCCAGCACTGTCATTTTCCATCATGGTAAAGACAACAGCTGAATAAACCCATGTGTCCTCATCTCCCTGAGAAAACATATGGCATATTTTGTGAGATGAATACATTGCAATAAATACATTTAAAGAAGAAAAAGAGAAAACTACAAAAAAAAAGTTTTATCTTACTTTAAAATGCTGATTTTGCTGTCCACCAGTGGTTGCAGTGCCTATGAACCACACAATCAGAATGCATTATAAAATGCACTGCAAATAAAGACAATAACAACAAATAAAGATCATCATCAAAAATGATTCCCTTAACTCAACTCTCAACTACAATATAGTATAAGTAATGTACCCTTACCATTGCAACTATCACAAGCCTTTAGGGAAGAAATTAGATAAGCTATAACAATCAGACTTATAGCCAAAGCAGCACCTAGCAGAAACAACATAGTTGACCTCTGAGAATCCCACATGTCGACTGCTGAAAATCATTAAAAAAAAAGAAACAATAATGAAAATTAATCATTTAAAAAAGTTTAATTAAGCATAATTAATCATTAAATTATTATTTGTTAAGAACAAGTATTTGTTATTGGTTATCTTAAGGGGTTATACCTGATTTACAGTTAAATACACAATTATCCTAATTACACCATTATGGAGAATTGCAGTTACCTTCAATGCCAAGTTTTGTTCCATTTCCAGAAAATATCTCATCACATGTGGCCACAGCAAAGTAATAAGTTCCAGTATCAGAGGATATCATGTTCTTGAAGATGTTCTTGCTGTAGAAACACTTCTTTATATAGTCTAATAGTCTATAATAGTCTTCAACACTGTTTCCTTGAGTATAATTAAAACTTGAATGAGACTGATGTGATCCATCTCTAAAACAACACACACTGAGTTCTCCTGGACATGTTTTGTTCTCAGAGTCAGAGAGGACTGAACACTGCAGAGTCACCGAGTCTCCTGGACGGACTGGATCAGATGGAGGGACTGTAGTGATATCAGATTCTTGTGCACACAAAACAGTTTCAGATGATTTCAAACAAAGCATTTTTTTTAAATTTCTGTATGAATTATACAAACATGTTAAGTTTATACTTTTATTTATATATATTTATATTTTTTACTTATATGTACAAGTAAAGAAATTAAGGTTTGTAAATTACTACTGGAACTCATAATGAAAATTTTGAGGAATCTGAAAAATCTGTTGCTATTTGTGCTGTATTTACCTTCAACTTTCAGGTCTGTTCCATTCAAAAATGTAAAGTTTTGCTGATGTATTTTCATACAGACGTAAACTGCAGTATCACTTAGCTTTGCTTCTGTGATATGCAGAACAAATGTTCCAGGCTCTTCTTTGGTTTTAATGTGACGCTCAACACCCTCAAAGCTAAATGTTTTTCCTACGACTTCAGGAAAGTTTCCTGAAACAAGCCTGATCCAAAACATGCTTCCTGTACCTTTGCGGGTACATGTCAGTTTCACATAATCTCCAACAGCAACGATCTTTGTCTCAAAGATAGGATCATCTGTGCATCCTGAAATAACAGAATTTTACATTAACAACAGAGAAAGAATCACGTACACCCTCTCCTCAATTACTGTATCAGGATTACAACACTTAAAATATATATCTGTAGTAAATCTGATGTATACTTACGCCCAACTCTGAACATCAGCAGTAAATAATAAAATATAACCAGCATTTTCTGCTTTATCCACATGAAACTGCAGTTAAATTAGACCTTATTAGAAGATGATTCACCTTAATAATTATATCAAGTGGGAGGGAACAATTTCACAGAAATCTGATTGGTCTCTCAGTATTTGTGATTTCACTGTTCTACCACAGTGGAAATAATATCAACCATCTTTCCAACCTAAACACAGCACAACAACAGCAAGCTTTTGTTTCATGTTTCATGATGGGCGTTAACAATCTCTCTCCTGTGATGAACATCAACAACAGCAAAAGCAATATTTTTCCTCCCGTGGGCGTAATTACACTTAACCTTGATGTGAATTAATCTACCACACTTCATTTCACAACAGTTTTATAGTTCCACAATATTTGGATCACGTTTTCAGAAATATTTGGTTATCTGGTGTATCTGAAAATGTCCTCCATGCTTTTGAAGGCACACACAAGTATTATCATTGACTCAGTGAGCTTTATATGTAACATGGTTTATAGAATCCCTAGAATTGCAGTTGTCATGGGATTTGGCATTACCCCTGTTCAACATATTTTACTAATCGTAATCGTTCCATCTCCAGATTGGTTGATATTACGGATACTAAACCAAACAATCCCAGATAGGATGTTCACATTGATTGTGCTAAAGTCTCAATTACATTTGTTGCTAATATATTTTAAATGATATATCTCTACAACACAACTTCCTGCATTGGCACTGAACATTAGGGTTTGATGTAAATTATGTACTTAAGAATGGTCCAGTATGAACAGAATTATGTATGCCAAGCGGTCTTCTTACAATAACGTGTTTCCCACACATAGACTTCAACTAAAAAACGTGGCATTACGTTATAAGATGTGGTCACGGTGGTTGTTTTATAAGCATGGACCAGGTAAAGCAACAGTGAACACAGAGTGCAGATGCCAATCGTTTGATAGGCTACGTCAATTACAAGCCAGCTAGCGGTGCATTTGCTGCCGTAAAAACTGTTTGCGGTTGGAGAAATCCAGAAAAGGGACAAGTTCTGCAATCACAATGCCGGCTCAACATTATGATGTCTGTCACCCATCGGCAGTGGACAATGTCAAGTTTAGCTATTTTTTATGTTGCTTTACTGTTTATTTTGCAGGTTAGCCTGTTGAGCTTGGCATTCTGTGCTAAATGTGGCTATAGGGGGATGCATGATAATCATCAATCCGATAAAATATCCGCAGATGGGCATATTTTCATTATCGGAATCATATCGGAAAATTTAATTTTGGCCAATAATTTAGCCGATGAGAATCCAACAATGCTATAACATGTGCTGCTGCTATTGTTGCGCTCTTATCCGTCATGTTGCTGCGCCTGGATCGAGCCAAGCAGACGCGGTGCAGGCAGCTAGAGCCAAACAAAGATGCTATCGATGGTTCGGCTGTTTTTCACTGTTTAAGAAGAAGACAGCTAAAGCACACCCCAAGGACTGAGGTTTTAGGTCTGGACCTGCTTTTATTTTGTGCCATAGACAACTCACTTTTACAGTGCTGTTTGCAGCTCAGAAAATATATGGAGCTTGGTTGTTCTGGTTTTACATAAAAATAAAATGTGGCACTGACATATAATCTTCTCCCAAGTGAAATAATTTATATTTTTAAGGGGTGAATGTCTGTCTACATTTGTAAAATGATAATTTTTGGAAGAACTAAATGTTGTTTGACTTGTTTAATATCTGTTTCTACAACAAATGGGTAATAGGGTAAGAGTAGTATAGGTGTCACGATCGGTGGTGTGGAGGCAGGTTGGAGGACCCAAACGCAGGACACAGAGCGGAGCAGGTATAGTTCAATGAAGGGTTTTAATATAACCAAAAGCGAGCACACTTACAGGTGAGTGGCTGAATAACAGAAATCCAAAAGTACAGGGAGACAAGACAAGCAAGGCTGGTTACAGGCAGGCAGAGAGTACACACACAACAGACTGGGGGGGTAACATGAACAATGACAAGACAGAAACACCAGGTATATATACACAAGGACTAACGAGCAGGGCGGGAGCAACACAGGTGAAAGACATGAGACTAACGAGGCACAGGTAGGGGGGGGAGGGAGAGAGAGAGAGAGAGAGAGAGAGCAGGAGAAAACAGAGACAGACATGCAGAGGGATCACTGGGGGTAACAGACATGACAAGGGTTACCGAAAACTAGACGAAAGACAAGACAGACCCCCAAAAACCAACAGACCAAAATAACACTAACTAAACACAAAAGTGCAACACAAAGGATGGCCAACCGGCAGAGCGTGACAATAGGAGAGACTTCTCTTCAGTGAAATAAAAAAAAGATGTGTAAATATCAGTGTCGGCATCGGCCAAAATGAGTTTTAACATATCAGCATATCGAATATCAGCCAAAATCCAATATTGTGCATCCCTAGTATATATTGTAAAACTGGAGAAATGTTGGAGTATTTAATATTGAGGCACAGCCAAGAGAAATTGTGTGAACGTAAAGCCTCATTTAAAGCCAGTTACTAGTAGGTTGGATGTGGAAATGAAAACTGAAACAGTCCTTTCATGTTGCTTTTTGTGGAACCTCATACTCCAATGCAAGGTCAGCTGGCTTTGTTGTTACACAAAGTGGCTACATGTAAAAGTTCACATGAATTACAACAGTTAGGGGGTCGGTACCTTGCTCAAGGGCAGCTCAGCAGTGCAAAGGAGATGAACTGGCACCTCCCAAGATACCAGTCCACACTCTGGTTGACTGGTCTCTGCTGAACTTGAACCAGTCCCCCTCTGGTTCCCAAGCCAAGCCCCCAAAAACTGAACTTGAGCATGACAGTTCTGGCCGTGCAGAAAGGTAAGTTAAAACATATAATGTGAGTTTATATGACATGCAAAATCAATAAAAGTGTCTGCCTGTTTAACACTTCAGTTTAAGGTTTGAATTAGACTGGATTTTTTTCCAGTGTGTAACCCACACAAAACAATTTTGATTCAAAACACTTTGTTTGGATTCAGTAGCTGCATTATTTGTGGCCTTCTGCATTCCCTCTCTCTGTATTGAGACTTTATAGCACTAGACAGTGCTACTAATCATCTGCTCTCCTCTCATCACTGCCATCTATTGATGAAAACCAGATTCAACAAACACTAGCACATGTAATATATTTGTAAATGTATATTTCTCATGACAATGCAAAATCCAACAGCTGTGTCAGTACCATTTATGTAAAAGTGATCTTATTCGTTTGTGTGAATGACATATATAGACATAGAAGAGACCATGCCAGTATCTTTTTAAAATATGTGACTTTTTCTATGATTTAGCTCAAAGCAATACGTTGGCCGATATGGTGAAAAGGGATGTACATCACTACATAATGGGATCTTAGGGTGGATAAAATAATAGTAAAACCTCACAATTGAAAGCAGTCCATTTCAACAAAACGCCAAACTCATCAAAAGATCAAAAAATAGTATCTTGAAACTATGCAAAATAATGCAGGCGGTGAACACGGGGGAAAGAAATAACTGTAAGATGTCATTTAATTAATTAATCACCTTAATAAATAATATATTTGAATGCTGCCTGGTATTTTCTTGAGAATGTCTGTGCACACACATTTACAGTCACCCCTAACAGACAAATTACGAGTGGAAAGTTTTGCATGGTTGTGGTTGGGCAGGCAAAATAAGGTGTGATTTTAAAAGCCGCTTTTCTTCCTGTCATTCTCACCGTTTTAGTCTCAGGAAGGGGGGTTATGAAGTCTTTTCAACAAAGCAGGTGGTATAGTTATAGTTTCATGGTGCAGGACCTGGTCAGTGATAACAGTACTTTAATCATGCATTCAGTGAGTGTTTTCACTGCGCTTGTGGTTTTTTCTTTGGTGGTTGTTAAGAGACAGGGACATGCTACACATTTACTCGTCCTACTCAGGGCGAAACTACCACTCTGACCTGCTTCTTTTATCTTGTAACTCAAAAGGAAACTGCATGCTTGCTGACTTAATTTATCTAATCCATATTTATGTTTAAATGTACTTCAAAATATGCTCTACTTTCCTTATTCATGTCACGGAGACACCCAAATATTTAAATATATTATTCTCTTAGATTGACTTCATGATCTCCTTGGGCTTTACATTCCTGTCAGAGTGAAACATGCAGTTTAAAGAACAAATGAAGAGGTGGCTGATCTTTGGTAAAGATGTTCTTAGACGGACATGATGTGCCTTCAGGCCAGATTGAAACTGTATAAACACATTTTCCCTGTGTGTGGTGAACTCACTTGACTCAAATATCACCTCTTTTTACATGTTACAAAAAACTTTGATCTGATTAAAATCTCTTTCCTTTTTTTCATATGTTGTACTTTATATGTTAAATGTTTTCTTTAATGTGGAACTATGTCTATTAAGTATGTAAAGTGAATTTACATGCTAATTTGTTTTGTCTGTGTTTTCATAGCACATAGCATTGCACAGGTCTCTTGAACAAGAGGTCTTAATCCTTTATTTAAACGGTTTAATCTGTTTAAATAAAGGATTAACTAACATCACTTGATAAAACCATAGAAAGTGTACAGAACACAGCTGGATCATGTAAGTAGATTAAGTCTGATTGTTATTTCGGCTATTGTACCTCTCCCTAACTTACATTAAGCTCAATTAAGCTCACACATTGTCACCAACCAAAAGTCAGGACAGTACAGATCCCTGTAATCCTTTCACATTATAAATGAACACACATTAAAGCAAATAAAATTAAAACAATCAGATATGCTGGTTAAACTAAACAACTTTCTGATTCCTCTTGTAGCTCTTCCGTACTTGCACCTCTAACCTCATTGCATATCCTGTCTACGCCCATAGTCAGGTCTCTTATGAGTAAACAGCTTCAGCGGTTGGTCAAAGGCAGAGAAATGGCCCACCACAGCTTTTCTCTGTCAGTGTAGCTGTTGCATGTGGCTTTGCTTGCTGTTTTGAATGCAAGTTGCGCTTACAAAGTGTTGTGAGACTGAAAAAAACTCAGAGTTGT